CCATACTTAAATGACACAAAAGGACAGCCTATGCACCAAATAATGAAACAATTACGTTCACCAATGTAGTAATCGACTGCAGCTCCCGAGGGCTCCTGCCCTGCGTGGAGGCGAGATGATGCCAACGCGCAGAATTCTGGAGACCTGGCAACCAGGTGGACAGGTTGTGCTTGACTATGCTTATCTGTTACACAGACTGGGTTTTTTTTTGGGGGGGGAAGGGAAAGAAAAGGAAATCAAGAAATAAAGTCACCCCTGAAATAAAGTTATTGAAGCTTTGAAAAAAAAACAGAACTGAAGTTCAGAAGGAAACAGGCAAGGAAGACAGCTTTGAAAGCAACTTCTTTGTATTTTCACATATAAGGTTATTTTTCTGTACCACTTCATGTATGGAATTTTTTGGAAGTGTTCATTAAATTCAAAATTCTAAAACCTTAACAAAAAAAAGACATGGCATGCTTCAGATGACCAATTTAGCCAATTAAATCACGTCAACTTTTCGAGCACAACCATTCAGGAAGTTTAAGGTAACCTTACCTGGATGGTTAGGTCAAAAGAAGTTCCTTGATCTTCATCCTGGGGCTCAAACATAGCCTTGGAGGTATCCACTAAGAAAATCAAACTGTCCCGGCCAGAATACTTATAGTTTCCTATAAAGAAAAAATATTTAAAAACAATTGGAATTTATATTGCAACTGTTAAAGACTAAGACGGTTTCTTTTTAATGAAAAAAAAAACCTTTACAGGCTTAAGTAGTAGTAATAACATGTCTCCTGGGGTCACAGATGGTCCCTAATACAAGACTTTGGGAGTAACTTTCAACTCACTATTGCCTTAACCTCCCTCCCAAGTCTACTTATTTCACACCTGCAGGTTCTAAGTACTCCTGAGGTGGCCAGAGCAGAGCCCTGGCTTCCCTTGTGTACCTGTGGCTCCAGAACATCACCTGGGCACACAGCAGGTGTCAGATAAATGCTGCTGATTGATGCCTGGGTGGCCCTAATGCTTCCAAGTTCTTCCTCCTTGAACAAAATGAAATATGCCTCCCTGTACATCCCTTGGTCCAGTCCTTCTGACTCAGAAGATTATTTTTAAAGATCACACAATTCTGGGACTAGAAAGTACCTGAGAAATTATCTAAACCAATCTCTTTCTTTAGGGCTCAGAAAGTAAAGTTACAACTGGGGTAGGGGTGGGAGATCCACTCTCAACGGGATGGGGAGGACGGGTTCCCTTTTCGTTTACGGCTCATCTAGGCCTTTCCTCCCTCCATGAAGTCCTTATCAGCAGAGGAGCAGAGCACACAGTGTCTACACTGTACAAAGGGTATAACTATGCTCTGCAGAACCTACTTTACACATCGATCCTGTTTCCTCCATAGAGGCACCAGTGTGGCAGCCGGACAAAAAACTGAATTACAACAAATGTGACCAAGGGAAGACACCATAAAAAACATACTCAGACCACTTTGTGGATTTGTGGAGTTAAAATCCAAGGTCCAGCCTGAGGCCTTTTTTTTTTTTTAAAAGGATGAACATGACCCTAGCTTGGGGGTCAGCAGAAAGGAACTGGGTGGATACGGAAATGTAACAGCTCCAGCCTGAGCCCAAGGCAGAGTTACAAGGAGCACAACTGTCTTCCTGGAGTTTAATTCCCTTCCACTCCGGTTACTGCACCCCTTTGGGGGGAGGGAGGCCCTTTCTGATTATCCCAATTCAAATCATCACTTATTACACATTCCTGTGGGAAAGGCACTGTGCAAATATTTTTTTAAAAAAAAGATGCACAGATAAATGTGATACAAAGTGAAATGTTAATGTCAAAAAAGAGGCAGGCAAAGTACAGGGTGAGACTTTTCCTTCTTGGCGGCCCCTTACTCCCAGAGCCTTTATAACTGGGAATTCTCACGATACTTTCCCAGACTTGGGACTATTAGGCAGGGGGCTGTAGAGGAAGCGGGATGGAGGGGACAGCACAGCCCCAGGAAGGAGGGTATGAAGGACTGCCCTAGAGTTGGGGGAGTGGAAAGAGAAGCATGGAAAGACGGACATGAAGTGATGTAAAACCAAGTAAGCAGGACCAGAAAACCAAAACACACACACACTGACCACAACAATACGAAGAGAGAAAAGGCCAAGACAATAAAAACCAAATTATAAAAACCAAGTCTGGCCTCAAAGAAGACACCTAAGACACCTCGCCTTTGCAGAGGCAGGGGCCCTGAGCGTGGAATAGTGCGCATGACGTCGGGGTTTCTGGTGTGTTTTCTCTTCCTCTCTTAAAAAAAAAAATTCATTTGTTACCAGGGATAGCTCTCTGGGAGAAATCCGGGCAATGCACAAACAGAAGCTGGCCCCCAAAATCCGCTGCAAGATGCCGCCTGCGGCCCAAAGCCCGGTTCTCACCCCGCTCTTCCCACGAGCGGCTCAGGCCCCGCAAGCCTCACCTTCCGCGTCCGCCCCCTCGTCCTGCTCCTCTTCCTCGTCCTCGCCCTCGTTTTTGTAATACGACTCCCACCCGGACATGGTCCTCGTGATCCTTTAGGAGAAAAGGGAACCTGAGGACCCCCCCATCCATGCTCCCCACCCCCACTCACACACACGCGGGGGGGGGGCCACAAGGGCCTTTCTGGGGGAAGGCATCTTAGCTGCGGGGGCGGGGACCCCTCCCCTGCAGAAGAGCCTCAGCGGAAGCCCCAGCCCTTCGCGAGCAGGACCCTGACACCCGGCCCGGCGACGACCGGGCCGTCTTGCCCCAGACCAGAGGGCAGCGAGCTCGAGGACGCTCGAAAACGAGGCTGGGGCGCATGCCCAGTGAGGGGGTCCAGCGCGCGCCCATCCTTACCTGGGCACTGAGAATGAAGATGCAGCGCAGAGCGACAAAACGGACGGAGGAAAGGAAAACTTCAGAGGGCTTTTCCCCCAGTGCGCACGCGCGCGGTCCAGCCGTCGTCCAATCAGCTCGCTCCGCAGCTCGGGGACCCGCGGTCCGCACGTGCAACCCTCCTCCCCCGCCTCCTCAATCTCTAATGCAAACAACCAACGCTGAGGGCCAGAGGAGGTGCCAAAGCCCCGCCCCTTCTCAGGCGTCGGTGGGAGGAAGTCTAGGCGAAGGGCAGTGAGGTGCACATGCGCAGAGGGAAAGGCTCGGCCCGGCTCCCTACGCAGCTTCAAGTTGAAGCGCCCTCCCTCCAGACTTCCTCTGTTCCTTACTTAGCACAGGCTGTACCCGAGGCCTGGAATGCGCTCCCTCTTCACCTACCCTGAAATCTCTAAGTTTCTTCAAGGCCAGCCAAGGGCCGACTCCTACAGGAACCTATGCTGATCGGCGCAGCCAACAGCTGTCCTCCTCCCCCACGAAATTACTTTGTATGTTTCTTTTTCTGTGTACGTGTTATTACTCCTAATAAAATGCAAGCGCTCCTCGAGGACAGAAGTAGCCCCCATATTTGAATCCAGAGCCTAGCACCTCACCTTCTACGAGCCGCTTAATAAGGAAGGAATGAAGTCAATGAGACAGGGGCACAAGGTACGCGCACCTCGACCCAGCCTGCTACCCAAAGTACAAGCACTTATTAAGTACCTAGGATGTACTTGGTACGGCAACTAGGTGGCGCAGTGGACAGAGCGCTGGACCTGGAGTGACATCACGTAGAGATAAAGACTTAACAACTACGATGTACTCCACACTGTGCCTCGTGAACACTGAGGATACAAACATTCCTATCGAGGGAGTTATGGATGTAAACTACATGCCAGGTAGATGCAAAACAAATACAAGGTAACTGGAGGGAGGGCGGAGTGGGTGAGAATGTCAACGCCTACGCTTTCCTTAGAGCCACAGTTTCACCCACTCTAAGGCTGCCTGAAATGCCAAAGGAGCGTAAAACACATGCGCAGAAAGCACCTTCGGCTCTAGCTCTCCCACTACCTGGGCGACTTTCTTCTGGGCAGAGCACCACCCCCTTTGCAGGCGTGGGAAAAGGTTTTGTCGTGCGCGTGCGCAGAAAGTTCTACACGTCGCACGCAGCCGCGGTTTCCAGGTTGGGCTGAGGGAGCACTGCACCTGCGCAATCCGGTCCTCGCTCCCTCATTCCCCTCCCCTCGGCTTCCCGGCGCCGCATCTTGGTTGTATCACAGTGTCAGTTCAGCTGTTTTTCTGTCGTGTCTCACTCGCGTTTGGGATTTTCTTGGTGAAGATACTGGAGTGGTTTTCTATTTCCTTCTCCGGCTCATTTTACAGATGAGGAAACTGAGGCAAACAGGGTAAAGTGACTTGTCCTGAGTCACAAGCTAGTGTCTGAGGTCAAATTTGAACTCCTGACTCCAGGCCGGGCGCTAGCTGCCCGATAATAGCACATTTCGCAGAGTAATTCCTTCTTTGGAGGAGCCCCCCCCCCACCACGATCTGAACTGAAAACGGGCAGATGGCGCTGGACATGCGCTGTAGGCCTTCCCCAAGCGCTACGCCACCGGTCCTGGCCCCTCTCGGAGGGCGGGGGGAGGAGGCGGAGGTCTTGCCTGTCCCCCCCACTTCGGTTTCGGGAGGATGCGCGGTGGGCGCTGGTGCACATGCGCAGCAGACCCTCGGGGCTCCTCGCCTCCTCCCTCCTCGCCAGGCGTCTGCGGGCGCGGCCGGCCCCGGCGCCCTTCGTCCTCGGGGCCGTGACGTCGCCGGGAGGGCCGCGGGGCGGGGCGCCGCGGCGTGGGCGGTGTCGCGCAGGCGCAGCCGGGCCCGAGGGGAGGCATCCTGCCCCTCGGCCCTCTGTCACCTCACAGTCGGCGTTGCCGGGGCGCGTGCGGCCCCGTGCGGCTGAGCAGCCCGCGCAGCGCAGCGCCGGCCCGAGTGTCCCAGCCCCCGACGCCCCCGGGCCTCTGCCCACCGCCCCCGTCGGTGCGGCACGGAAACGAAGAAGACGCCGCGTTCGCCGCCGCTGCCGTCCATGGAGCCGACGAACCTGTACCCGGTGAAGCTGTACGTGTACGACCTGTCCAAGGGCCTGGCCCGACGCCTCAGCCCCATCATGCTGGGTGAGCGCGGGGCCGGGGCGCCCTCCTGGGCGTGGGGGGGGGCCTGCCTTTGTGACCTTGGGCTCGTCGCTGCCCCTCCGCGGGGGGAGTCTGGGGTCGCGCTCCGTCGCGTGTCCTTTGCTGGGGCCCCGTCCGCGACTTGCTTTGGGGGGGACCCGGGGCTCCGTGAGTGACAGATCCGGGCAGAGAAGCCCCCCCACCCGTGACCCTCCGGGCCCCACTGGGCTGGGGCAGGAAGGGGGGGTGGCCGCGCGGTGCAGAATGAGGGTCCAGGTCGAGTGCTTTGGGCAGCCCGGTTTATAAACCGAACCGAGACCCTGCACTAGGGGCTGGAGGGGCAGCGAGGTGGGGACCAGCCGGGGGAGGAGGGCCAGTGACTGTGACCCAGTGAGAGCCCCGGCCGGCGAAGCATCACCCGAAGACAGGGATCCCTTTGGCCTGGTTGGAGAAAGCCCTGGAGAGTTCTGGAGAGAGGAAGTGATTAGTAATCCAAGGGAGGCCTTCCTAATCTAATTGGGGTGGGGGGAATGAGGTTAGCTAGGAAAGGAAATACATTAGTAAATTTCCTAATTTCTAAAAAGGAAAACCTAAATTCAGTACAGACCAAGACCTAATGTGATGGGATGACACCATTCATCAGAATTCTGCGGAACAAAAAGATTTCTCATTCCGTGTATTTCAAGCCATACTTAACAAAAACGCCACTTTGGGAGGGGGGCCCTTTAGGTGTGGTTGGCTGTGTCCTGCCTTCCTGGGTCACTGTCCCCCACACCTTGTAAGCGTCCCTTATTCCTGTGAGGCTGATTTGTGAATGGGGGTGGGGGGGGACTGAAGGTCAGGACTGAAAAGCTGGAGTCCTTATAGGCATATTCTTAATACCTTTCCAGTTTTAACTTGAGCTGAACGAGATTTTGACTGATTGCTAGAGGAAAAATTCAGGAAGTGTGAGAGTCACGAATTGAAAACCGTCACTGAGGGACTTACTCAGTCGCTAATGATTACAGTCCGGTTACAAAAGATAAACAAAGAGCTTGGAATGGAGCCCTGTGTTTGCCCATTCATAATGAGAAGGCAAATTGATAGGGTTTCCTGGATGCTTGGAAAAGGAAGTTGGAGCAACTTTCTGCCTGGGGGGGGGGAATTCCCATCTGGGCCCAGGAGAAGGCCCTTCAGGCCACCTGTCCTGATGCCCACTTCTTCAGCCCTTCTGGGCCTCTATAATGCCAAGTGATTCCAAAGCTGCCTCTTCTTCTTTAGGCCACACACAAGGTGGTGTTAGTAACCTTTGGAATTGAAGACCAGACACGTCTACATGAATCTTGTCCCACGCCTTAAAGCCACGTTAGATCTGCATTTCATCCAGTTCTCATTTCCAACCAAAGTGTGTCCCTCCCCCCATATCAAAGGACATTGTGACCGTTAATGGTTTTGTCATTTTTAAACCATCAGCTCAGTGAACGTCCTCATTTGGCGTAATTTCCTTCTCGTTGTCTCATGTAATTCCAGCTCTGTTTGGAGGCAGGAGACATGGATTTGAATCCTTGCCCTGCCACGTATTACAGATCTCTTAGCCTCAGTTTTCTCATCTATAAAATGGTAAAGCAAACAAAAAAACCAACCCAATACCATTATCACCTGCTTCCCAGGGTTGCTGTGACGAAAGACTTGTCTGCCTTAAAGGTCTCTCTTTATAAATGGGAGCTGCTCTTCTTCCATCTTGCCTTCATCCAGTCTCTTTGATGATGAAATTCTGCTTTTCTTTCAAGAACATGGCTGGAAGAGACCTCCGAGGCTACTTAGTCCAACATTCCCTTCCCCCACCTCCCAGTTTTACAGAGGAGGAAATTGAGGCCCAGGGAATCTAAACGGATGGCGTACCCAAGGTAGTAGGTAATAAGCCTCGGAGACAGAATTTGAGCCATGTCCTCTGGCTCCAGAGCCAGTGCTTTGCCTACTGTGTGGCATCCGAGTTCCTTTGGGCCAAGTGGAGAGTGTTTCTGAAGTCAGCCGTTGTTTGTCAGTGATGGAAATAAATGCCTCCATTGTTGGAGCTGAAAATATTCTCTTGTCCAAGTGCAGGATTCACACGACCGCTGCCTTTGGCGTTCACCACTTTGCGCACTCCTGCCGTCTTCCAGCTTTTTACTTTCTGTTTGGAGCAGTCCTGACATTTTTAGTTTGTCCTCGGGAAGCTGTCCTCCTGCCCTCCCCCATCCCTCCGGGGATTCTAGGCTTCTTCCCTGGGTCTTTCTGTCCTCACTACAGCATAAGATCAGACTTGCAGTAAATGAGGTCCCATCTTGTTGCCTGCCCCTTCCCAGCACGGCACAGGCTCCGGACAATGTGATTAATATATTTAGTTTGAAGGTTCTTGTGGCCACTTTCTCACTGACTGTGGAAACTCTCCTAAAGCTTGCCCCTCAGTGCTTACACTGCAAATAGGTGTAGGCAGGTGATCAAACCCCTTCTATCCTTGCATCCTTGCAAGGCACCAGATCAGCTGTCATGACTGTCTTTTGGTCCTTCCCATTACAGCTGCTCCCTGAATTCTGGTGACCCCTTTCTGTGTTAAGGGGCATAAAAGTGAGCACAGGTTTCTCACAACCTGGGGAACTTTGCCCTCCCCTGGCCCTTTGCCAGCTGCTTGCCTGCTACAGCACAGGGTTCACTTTCATATTTTTTTTGGCAGGCTCATCTCAAAATGATTCTTCGATCCAAGGACGTGGGGACTTTCTAAGAAATATTAATTAATATCTTCCGTGCTAGGCAGATTTGGGGGGGATGATACCAAAGAGAGAGCCCTTCCTTCATGGAGGGTGTAACTGTCATTTATAGACGTGATTCATGAGGGTTATAAGACAGCTTTTTAGAAAATGTCAAATCGTTAGCTCAAAGCAGTAAGTGCCAGTAAGAGAAAGACCACGTATGGGCCAGAGTGGGCTTGCAGTGTATGATCCAGTTAAACCTGTTCAGATTTTTCATCATGCTTTAATATCAGGTTCTGTGTTAGATTCATTAGACTGTTTGGGTTCGTATCTGACTAATACAATTTTTAAAAACTTTTTTTCCCCTCCAGTTACATATAAAAACATTTTTTAACATTGGGTTATTGGGTTTTTTTTAAAGTTTTGAGTTCCAAATTCTGTTCCTCCCTCTCTCCTCTTCCCCCCTCCCCAAGACAGTAAGCAACTTGTTATAGGTTATACCTGTAATACAGTTTCTTCATTTGTAAAATGGAGATAACATTAATACACCCTCTTTTCTGGGTTGCTTTGCTGCAAGGCATAACTTAATAAAAATTATTGGTAGACACTGTAACAATCTTATGAGAAGGAAGTCATCAATGGATTATTTATTACAAAAAAGTCATTCCTTTGCTGGAAAAATCTTTGTCTTTTAGAGTTTTTAAAGTGGCAAGTGGAATAAAGCTTTTACCTTTTGGGGAAAACATCATTATAAGCTGGAAGAGGACCTTTAGAGGCCATTATAGATAAAGAAACTGAGGCCCAGAGACTTGGCAGAGTAACTTGTTCAAGGTCAGTTAGTCTAGGACAGGGGTGGGGAACCTTCGGCCTGGAGGCCACATGTGGCCAAAGGTTCCCTTCCCCTGGACTAAGTGATGGGAATTCAAACATGCCCAAAGATGCTATTTTGATTTCATGCCGTACTTTCTTTTGCATAAAGCTGATCTGCATCACTGCTTCTGCTGAGGAATGGCTTCCTTTCATCTCATCCCTATTTCGCAGCCACCTTTAGCATCAAGGACCCACTGTTGAAGTCCCACACTCACCCCTGCAGGCATCGCCCTTGGTAGCCGGCCTGGAACAGAATATTGAAGGGTTTTTGATGTTGCTGATTTTCCAGGTTCAGTTGCATAAAGCAAACATTAAGTGTGTTGGGGAATGAATGGGGATGCAGTTGCTGGCTGACTGGCTGGCCAGTCAGGGCCTCCCCTCCATAGGACCCTCCATCTTGGGTCACAGTGGGGTTCTAGAACGCTGTCAGTCTGTGGAGCCCCTGGTCCTACTGCGCTTTCACCGCTGCTTCTCATAAAAGTTGACCAGAAAAAAATGGAAAGCAAACGGTAGTATTAACAAATAAGTACACATCTGTAAAGATTTTTGTCATTTTGGTCCCTGTAATTTTTGTTTTCCCTCTAAATCATACCAGTGATGATGCTGTGTCCTTTTCACATAGATTAAATAAACTCTTTAGGACATGTTGAGTTTTGTGTCCTGACCAATTCCCAGATTCTCTCTTGGATCCCTTTGTGACCCTGGCCTACATCAGTGAGACAGAGATGACTGGCAGGATTGGGCAACAAGGGCAGAACCTCATTGGCCTCAGTGGGCCACAGGCCTCAAGTGACCTTGATCTCCCTTGAAGGCCTCATTCACGTCAGGCTTCAGTCCGGCTTTTCCAAGTTATGGAAATGGATGGAAGCACGGCCCTTTCCCCACCCTGAGTATAGGAAGCTTTGTTTTAGATGAAAACTTTAGTGCTGGAAAACCTATGGAGCAGGAGAAAGCACCTGTCACTGTGTCTTAGGGAAGAGAAAGGAACAAGCCAGTGGCTGACATATACCAGCCAGGCATATGCCGGCCCGGCAGCCACAGCCAGGTCACCGAGGGTGACTTGGTCAGGTTGGTGCTACCTAAAGGCCATCCTTAATTTCCCTGGTCTTCGTGTTGTCCCCACATAACGTTAGTAAGGGAGCTGTTGTTATCCCCGTTTCACCGCAGAATTTGGGATTGAGGACCTCAGAATACTGGGTGTTCCTTTCCTTCCCACCCCTGCTTCCTGTGGCCTCCCTCCTGTACATTCTCCACAGAAGTCCGCTTGGCATTTTGGGCTCCCCCAGGGTGATTCCCTGCTCTGCCATGGGCCTGCTCCAGCCACCTGGGGCTTGTCTCACAACACAGCCTCTTGGCCCCTTCTTTCAGCTCTTCGCTGGTGGAGAGTTGAAGCCAGTTCAGACCCACCATATGCCTCCCAGTCATCATCCTTTAATAATGTAACCCCAGTTACAAAGGGCTTAAAGGTGGGCAAAGCACTTTACAAACATCTCATCTGAACCTCATGACAACCCTGGGAAGCAGATGCAATTGTCCATTTCACAGATGAGGAAACAGAGGCAGAAGGTCATTAATGACTTGCACAAGATGACCCAGCTAATAAGTGCCCGGCAGTCTGTCCACTGTGAGTGCCACAACTGGAGCCCTTGGGCCGCTGTTTTTCAGACCTGCTCTCTGAGATGCCCAGAGAATTCAGGGCCTTCAGCCTGACCCTCAGGGGCACGGTTGGCCCGGGTCAGCAGCTGCCTCCATCTCGGTCATCTTTTGGGCCTTCATTTCCACCTCTCCGTGCAGGGGCTGAATCCAAGTGGAGCGGCTTATCTGTCACTCCTCCTCCCTCCTGTTTCCCTGTTACCATCCTCAGGGTGGGCTGGCTCAGCTGGATCTCAATAAGCTTTTCCATAAACTCGTTCTTGGCATCTCACAGCTTACTGAGCTGTTCCTTCCCAGGTGCCTTCCTTGGCAGCCATGGCTGCACATGGTAGGCAGGATACTTTGGCTAGTCCTTGGAAAGCAGACATCGTATGGATGGGGGAAAGGAGGCAGAGCTGACTTACGTGAGCTGCCTCGGGGAGAAAGACAGGCCTTGAGTCTGGGAAGTAGTGACCACTTGTTTGCTGATCCGGTCTGGACCGGCTGGGCATGCTCCACGAGCCTCCCGCGGCATCCAGGGCCTTCCAGCCAGGGAGCTACTTCTTTTCTCCTGTGACCCAGAGGCCAGCAACAGTCCCGAGGCCTGTGGTGGCTGGGGCTCATCTCCCCACAGAGTCACCGCTGGAATAAGGAAGGCTAAATTCTTTTCTTTCTGCTGTCTTGTGTCAAAACTTCCCTCTCTTGTTGAGGATGCCAGCATCCCACCCACCCACATTCCTAGCTGGAGAGTCATTCTTCACTCCCCCGCACCCCTGTAAAGGAATCAGTTACCAAATGCTGTGAAGTTCCTGTCGCCCCCTCCCTCCGTCACAAAGATCTGCCACCATAGCTGAGGCCTGCCCTGCCTTTCCCTGATTGGTCTTCTTCATCTCCCTTCCCATCTCTCCCAGCTTCCAAATTTATCTTGCAGAAGGGCAGGTGTGACTGATTGTGTATCATTTCCCTGTTGGAAAACCTCGTGCTTCAAGGACAAACTCAGACTCGTGAAGCCTGCTGCAGCCCTCCTCTTGTCTGCCTTTGCAGCCTTTTTATTACCCATCACTCCCCGTCACCCACTCAGCATTCCAGCCAGACTAGACTGTGGTCCTGCTGTTCCCTGCAATATATGGTGTGTTCCCACGAGCCGTACTCCATCCCAGGCATCCCTCCTCGTCTCCACCTGTCAGAATCCTCCTCTTTCCAGACTCAGCCCGTGCCCACTCCTTCCTAAAATGACCTGGGATCACTATCTCTACCTGTGCATATGCCATACTTCTTGATAGAATGCAGGGGGACAGACACCATTCCGGTCTTACCTTTGGTTTTCGGCAGTCAGCCCAGGACTCTATCCACAGAGCAGGCCCTTTGTTACTTTGTATAAGTCAATTCAGCATAGCCCCCTACATCTTGTTTTAACAGCACAAGGATGAAATGTGAATATATGCTAGAGTCACTTTAGTGAAATTGTTTAGATTTGTTTCTTTTTGCCTTCCTAGTAAGTCCTAAACTCTGCATTTGCCCCTGCTTCTCTCTATTACTTTGGGCATTTGGGAGAGCCTTTAGCCCTTTTCCCAAAGGGACCATAATGTACAATAATTAGATGTCAGCAGGTTAAGTCACTGAGGGAGAGTAATTTTTAAATTTTTTTTCTTTCTAAAGAAGAAAATCAGAGCAGTAAAAACTTTTAAAAAAGGAATGAGGGTTTCCATCTTAGATTTCACAGTTCACCTTGGAAGGCAAATACCATTAGTACCATGTGAATTGAATGAGAGGTTTTTAAGATTCTCCGCCATTTTCTGGAAGCCTCCAGGGGTGCGGAACCTGCGGCCTCGAGGCCACATGTGGCCTTCTAGGTCCTTGGGTGCAGCCTTTTGACTAAGTCCAAGTTTTACAGAACAAATCCTTTTATTGGAGGCTTGTTCTGTGAAATTTGGATTCAGTCAGAGAGCTGCCCTTGAGGACCTAGGGGGCCACACGTAACCTCGAGGCTGCAGGTTCCCCACCCCTTCTCTTGTTTGGTCCTTGTCTGCAAAGAGGCAGATTTCCCCTTGTCCTATAAGAAGAGGTAGGTACATTCGGGGCGACTTTGGAGATTATGCAGAGATGAGCCAGGGCACGAGGCAGAACAACCCTCCTTAAAGTTGGGGTGTGTCCGTGTCAGTGCACTGAGTCAGAATTCTACCTAGGAGTTCTTGGTTGTGACCCACGATCACCTTCCCCCTACTGTTGGTACTGGAATTCCACATTCGCATCATGGGCCTGGAACTTTCAACCTTTTTATAGACCTGGAATATGTCCTAGTGAATTTATTAACCAGGCTATCCCAGAATTGCATCAGAACAATCTGGGCTCTAGCAAAAGCTCTTAGCAAATAGCAACCACGTGGTAAGATTTAATGACCGTGGGGTCGGGAGGGGGAGTGAGCCCCCTGGAGCGTTGTAGGGACTCTAAAAGGGAGGGCCACCTGGACAGTATCCATCAAGAGTGACAAAACCGGGGGCAGCGAGGTGGCACAGGGGATAGAGCACCGGCCCTGGAGTTACAAATCCGGCCTCAGACACATAACACTTCCTAGCTGTGTGACCCTGGGCAAGTCACTTAACCCCAATTGCCTCACTTAAAGAAAAAAAGAATTACAAAACCGGTCATGCTTTTTGACCCAGTGATTCTCTCGCTAGGACTTTATGACAATATCATGAACAGATCTGTGTCTGTATAAGAATATTTCTAGAGGCCGTGTTTGTAATTGCAGAAAAAGGACCCAATCTAAGTCTAAAAACTGGAGAATGTCTGACAAGGTATTGAATATCAATGTAAAGGAACGGGCAGACTCGTATGAAGAGACTCACTGACAGCTCGCCCTTGGTAAAGCCAAGGTGAGGGCGGCTGAGCTTTGTCCGTATCGGGTTCTGGGGCAGGCAGGGCAGCGAGACACTTCTCTCTGCTGCTGCGATGACAGGCAGGTATAACACAGCGAGGGCTCGGGGGGCGGCTTTAGCTCTTGTTCTTTTTGCACCTATTGGATGATTTGCTTTTGTCCGTGGTCATTAGTAAGATCACGTTGCCCAGTCTCGGGACACTCAGATTTAGTGTCTTCTTCTTTTCACAGGGAAACAGCTGGAAGGCATCTGGTAAGTTGTTGGACTTCTCAGTCTTGCCTGGGTCGATTGGTTTATGGAACACACAAGGGCCGCCACGCCCCGGAATCCATTGTGGTCCCCAGACGACTTTTAGCTTCTAATTGACACGTAGACCCACTTCCCAGTCATTTCAGATTTGAAGATGTAAGAGTTGGCTCCGTTCCAAGCAGCAGCGCGGTGTAATGAGAGGACCTCGACCTGGCATCAGGAACCCTGAATTCTGGTCCTGCTTCTGGCCTTTGCTAGCTTTGTGGCCTCTCTGGGCCTCGGTTTTCGCATCTTTGTGGTCGTGTTCAGCCCTGGTGTTCTGTGAATTGAATTTGGAAGGGTGGAGGGGAATCACGCCCACCAGGTACCCGATCGTAGCCAAGCGTGCTAACTGACCACTCAGCCTTCAGACCTCCTGTCTCTGTTTCATCCCTCATGCCCTTGCCACATCTCTCTCTGCCAGATGCCCCAAGCTGGGCGCTCCAGGAAAATGATGAGTGAGGCCACTTAAGCTTGGGTTAAAGATTAGGTTGACCATCGTTATTTTGCCAATAAATGGATCTCAGTGTGTGGGGACTTTTCCATGGAATTGATCCATATTCAGGCTAGTTTGGCCCTCCTTTTTCAAAACTGACCCACAGTAGCTGCGAAGGAGGTTGGAAAGGTCTTTAGGAGTCGACCGTACCACGCAGAGCCACGTTCTTGAAACGTCTTCGGAGAGCCCGAGCACGTCGTCGAAGGGCTTCGCGAGCCGGCCTCCCCATCCCAGTCTCCCTTCCACTTTAGGCTGGAGGGAGGCTTGGGTTGGTGGTTTGCTTTCGTTAGCTAGTGAGATTGCTCTGCGTTTTGCAGGCTTCCCTTCCAGCAAATGGTCTGGAAACGACTTGAGGGGCAATCTCTTCCCCCTCCCCCCCCCCCAATTTTCCCCCTGCCAGCGAGGTGCCACCTTTTGTGACTCTTCGCAGAATTGTTCCTGTCCAGGCGTGGGTACCCTCCTGAAAACCCGTGTGTTTCCCTCCAGTTGCTTTCGAACGTCAGTTTCCCACTTACCCTGGCTTTCCTCTCCGTGGCAGGCACACCTCGATAGTGGTTCACGAGGATGAGTTCTTCTTCGGCAGTGGAGGCATTTCCAGCTGTCCGCCCGTAAGTGCCTCCTGTGTGGGACCCTTGCCTTTGCTGCCTCTGATCCCTCTGTGATTCCTGCAGGAGAACGCATGGGGTCGCTCAGCTTCCTACCGAATGCCACACGAATGCTTTCAAAGCTACATTTCTGAGACCTTCTCACATACCGTCCCACAAGCGACTGACCATCTCTTAGGGGTATTCTTCCCAGTCTGCTAAAGTTGTGAGTGAGGATCGGTTGTTGGGCAAATCTTCTGTAGAGGATTTCTAAAGGGAGAGGGACGAGATTCGTACAGAGCTAACGGTGTGCCTGAGCTGCCCGTCTGCTCTGGGGACGGGGGGGGCGGGGGACACTCATCTGCGAGACTGTGGCTCTATCGGGGCCTGTTTTGTCGCCTGACCCCTCTTGCTCGTTTCTTCCCTCGGCTCTCTGGAGTAATCAGAGGGACCCTCGTGCCTGAGATTTGACCATAGACTGCTACAGGGCAGTCAGTGCTTCAAAACCCACCGTTGGCCCAACCTTCCAAATAAAAAAATGATGATAATAATAAGCATAATAACTTGATTGTCCATAAAAACATCTCATCCTACTGAGTTTTTTGCCCCTTGAATTTCCAAAGGAAGAAGCGGCATATTTTTTCATGAGTTTGACTATAGAGAAATGGATCGTTAAATGAAACACCTTCTGGTGCCCTGGACCTCCGTCTGTGAATCAGAGTCAGGGTCCACATGACTGCACACACACCTGTCACACAAATGACATGGAGAAGCAGCCTGGACTGAAAGGCAGGCTAGTGGAAATCAGGTTTAGATCATCACAACGTGTACTGCTTAAGCTCCAAGGGGATGCAGGAGCTCCAGTTAATAGAGAGATTATGGGAAAAGGAAAGAAAAGACTTTCCAAAACTGTGGCCGGGGGAAAATTCTTAACTGAACAAGGAATAGAAATGATCGCAAAAGATCAGGTGGATGCTTTTGAGTACATAAAATTAACAAGCTTTTGCACAAGCAGAATCCATACAGCTAGAAGTAAAACAAGAAAAAAATCCTTGAAGCAAATTGTTCTGCTAAAGGTTTGTGAGGGGCCGCTAGATGGCGCAGGGGATAGAGCACCGGCCCTGGAGTCAGGAGGACCTGAGTTCAGATCCAGCCTCAGACACCTACTCACTAGCTGTGTGACCCTGGGCAAGTCACTTAACCCCCATTGCCTCACCAAAAAAAAAGAAAAAAAGTTTTGTGAAAGTCCAGGGAAAAGATGCAGAGGAAATCAATACAAACAGGTAAAAGAACAAGAACCGTTCCCTAATAGAAATGTAAGTGATCAACAACCGTGGGTAAACGATAAGAAAAAAGTGACCAGCAGGCACCGGCTGAGTTAGGCCCTGTGAAAAGCAGCACAGCCATCAGTCCTCTCCCTGCTCGGGAGGGAGGACAGGTGCCCTAATGCGGGGGGGGGGGACTGTTAAGAGGACCACTCATCCTGGAAAGCAATTGGGAACTTCCATGTCTCCAAAGTCCTGCTGCTGGGGGTTCACAGTGGCTCTGATGGCAGGCGTGTGCCCTCAGCGAGGTCGGGCAGCCAGAAAGGACCCAGGGGCACCAGAATGTTTATGGTAGGACTTTTTTGTTGTGGCCAAAACCTGGAAACACTGCTTTAGTTGGGCGGTGGCTGAATAAAATGAGATGTTACTGTGCTGTAAAAAACGATGCCTGATGGATTCAGGGAAATGTCCAGATGGATGCCCGTGTGATTTATGCCAGGGTAAATAAGCAGAACCAGGAGATGGCTTTCCCCAGTGCCCACAGTAATGTAAATGAAGGCACTTTGGGACACTTCAGAACTCTGGCAAGGGCAGTGACCAGTCCCGGCTTTAGGAGCCCATCTGTACCCCAGCAGCGATTGCCGGCTTGGAGGCGAAGAAGGACATGTGCATTTTCAGATGTGGCCAACACGTTGGTTTGCTTTGCCTGTTTGTTAAAAGGGAGAGTTTCAGGGGGGGGGGAGGCCGGATAATCATGAAAAAAAAAATGTGACAAATAAAACATTTGGAAACTCCCCAGAGGAATGGAAGTGAGTTAAGAATGGAACCCAGACACAAGCGAAGAGGCTTTGTTACTGTCGAGATGCTTAATATACACTTAAGCTCGATGCAGCAGATAAGCACAGTTTCATAGACAGGCTTTTTAGTTCTTTGTTTTCCTAAATATTCATCTTTAAGTTTGCAATTAAAACAAAAATCAAAGAAAGGAAAAGAAGCCTTCTGGCTAGCATGAGGAGAGTCAGGAGGCTGGGAAGCGGGCATGGGAAGTGCCTGGAGCCCCAGCAGCACAGGGGCTGCTCAGCCTCGTTTAGCTGGGCAGCCCGTCTGCCTGGGAGCATCTGAGGACTAAGAAGGGACTGCTGATTGAGTTTGCTTGGCGTTTCTGTCCCTGTCAGAGGGCCGCCCTGGGTTCCTTTCTGCCTCACTCATCACTTCTCCCTCTGAAAGGAGAGGCTCAAACTTGGTGACCTCGAAGGTCCCTCCAGCTCCAGATGGAGAACCTTGCGGTCGTCCCTTTTCAGAGGTTCTAGTTCTAGGGAGATTCTCAGGGGTTGGTGATCGGCCTGATACTGTTGGCTTGCCCTTGCAGGGAGGGACACTGCTTGGGCCTCCCGATTCAGTAGTAGAAGTGGGAAGCACCGAAGTTACCCAAGAAATCTTCCTGGAGTATCTGGCCTCCCTGGGGGAGTCCCTGTTCCGGTGAGTGGAGGGCTTCACAGCCCCGCCTGGCTAAGCTGGGCCGGGACTGGCACGCCCGCCATGTCCTGCACTGGGCCCGGCATGGCGGGAGTGGGGGCAGGCCTGGGAAGTATAAAACCCCTCCAAACCTGTCTTCAGACTACCCCTCGGGGAGGGGAGGGCGCCTGGGAAGAGGCTTGTACAACAAAAACCCATATCCACGTTGAATTGTCACAGAACCCCAATCCCCATTTCTGGGAGCCCCAGGGTTCCATGACACATGGTTTGGAAAATGCTGATCTGGTTGGACCTGCTTGTTTTACAGAAAAGGAAATTAAGTCTCAGAGGAGGGGAAGTGACTTGCCCAAGGTCACAGAGGTGGTGAGGGTTGGAGACAGGCTAGATCCAGGGCTCTTTTCCTTTGCATCAGGCTGGTTTCCTAAAATTAGCTAACCAGTGTCTCCCTAGGCTTTTTAGAGTTCACAAAATATTCTCTCTGCTTTCTCCCTTGATCCTCCTAGACCTGTGAAGTAAGCAGGTCCTGCAGAAGTCCTTCTGCCCATTTTATAGAGAGGGGACTGAAGTCCACGTGAACCCAGGTGTCTGCAGTGGGGGTTTGAACCCAGAAGCCCAGGGCCCGAGGAGGCTGGGGAGACCTGCCCTTGCTGACTTTTAGGGGTGCTCACGGGCCTTGTCTCCCCCTTTCCACGGACAGAGGTGAGGCCTACAATCTCTTTGAGCACAACTGTAACACATTCAGCAACGAAGTGGCACAATTCCTGACCGGAAAGAAGATTCCCTCCTACATCACAGACCTTCCGTCTGAAGTCCTGTCCACGTGAGTCCTGCCCCCTGTCCTCAAGGTGGCTCCAGGGGCTCATCTCGCCCTGATGCAGGCGGGCAGGGCGGGGCTGGGGAGGCAGTGGCCAGGAGCCCGGGCAGTATCTGCGTGGCATCAGTGAATGCTGGCATGATCCTCCCTGGGCCTCTGCCCGTTGGAGGAAGGGACGTGGATGCTCAGTCACAAAGCGCCTGTCACTGGGAAGGTGCGGTTGGAGCAGCTGGCTCGGGCTGGTCTGAGGGGGCCACACCGCTGTAGCCGGGGCCAGATTCCCACGGGTTCTTGGAGGGATGGGGTTGGGGGAGTGTGGTTCGGAGGACCTAGGGAGGCTCATGGGAGTAGAACCGACTGGTCAGTTTAGGACGTCTTGGCACCCCACACACTACTCAGCGAGCGGAATTGTTGTCCGCGCTCCCGACGTCCCTCAGAGTTTCCTCCTGGCTCCTTCTCCAGTGATGTTTGGCCCTAGTGCTGCTGCCTTGACTCTGACCCAGCCACCCAGCTCCCATTCCTCAAAAGCATCCGGTGAGGCGGGAAGGGCTGGGATTGTCCCCATTGTACAGATGAGGGCCGTGAGAGCTGCTGGGACTTGCTCAGGGTTGCTGGTAATGAACAGCACAGGCCTTGAGGATTCGAGTACAGGTGGTCTGGCTGGATCCAGTGTTCTGTCCCCAGCACCCTAGTGTGGATGCCTCCAGGACATCCCCTGGTCACTCTTTCCAGTCCAGAGATTTTGGTTTCTGTGTAGGGTAGAGGACAGAAGCTTGGGGCCAGAAGGGCCACCTACAGAGCCCTTGATCAGCTCAGAGAAGATGTGCGTTCCCAGGAAGACAGTGATCGCTCACATGTCCAAAACGTGCCCCTCGGAGGAGGGACCAGCTCCCTCGAGGGTGTCACGGCCAGCAAGGACGGTGTTCGGGATATAGATGTAAGAGCCGAGGACAGAGGAGGACGTAGAGCAGGAGCGTCTGGACAGGCTGAGACCCAGTGCCCAGGGGCTCCGAGCCTCAGAGGGCTGCAGGCCGGCCCGCCGATAGTGCCGTCTCACCTTGAGGGCCACCTCCATCTGCCTGTTGGCTTTCCCTCAGGTGACCTGGGGGACAGGGCAGGTAGAGCCCCTAGCTGCAGGCCGTCCTTGGGGGCAGCCCTGGTGGGGCTGATGCAGGTGCTTCCTTCCCGGGGCTTGCGGTGTCAGCATGGGGAGGGGCCAGGCTGTCCAGCCCTGCCTGGGTCACACCTCCGAGGGCCAGCTTTAGGCACCCGAACGCAGGTTTCAGAAGCAGCAGTCGTCCGTGGAGATTGGGAGGAGCATAAGTGGGTCGTCTTGGCGTGCTTGCACTTCAGAGTGAGCTCTGAAAGGCTCCAGACGCTTGCCTTTTTGTCAAAGGGACGCTGTGGGGCTCCTCGAGCGAGATTCAGGGAGCAGAGAAGGGGCACTCACAGTTTGTGGTGACTGGGGTCCGAGTGAGTGCCATCGCCGGGTGCCAGGAGGGCCAGTCCACATGTGGCCCTTTCCAGAGAATCCAGGGAGCTCCTTGGAGGGGAGGGAGGGGAGGAGGGAGGAAGGACAGGTCTGTGCTCTTCCCAAGCCTGGAAGCGGAGGGATTTCCAAAAACAAGCCTAGGGTGACTGAGTCCTGGAGGCCGGCCAGCATCGCTCAGTGAGCCATGCCCACCTCTCTGTTGGAGGAGAGGGCGTTGTGTCCAAAGTCTTCCCTCTTCTCTCGTCTTCTCCCGCAGGCCCTTCGGACAGGCCCTGCGGCCCCTCCTGGACTCCATCCAGATACAGCCCCCTGGCGGGAACACCTTTGGCAGACCCAATGGCCAGAGCTAACGGGCCTAGGAGGGAGCACCTCGCCTCACCTCACCGCCGCCGTCGACTCTCCAGGGCTTTTCCTTTTTAAAAAAACAAACCCTACCAGATTTCTATTTTATAATTTTACATCAGAGCTAACCACCAGGGGACGGCTTTTTAAATTTCCCAGGGAAGGAGATCACCAGGCTGCACGTAGGACAATGCTGCTAACAACCAGAACCAGCGCCATCCCTTCTCACAGTATTATACTAATTTATTAAGGCTGTCTTGTCTGTGAGTTCAGTTTTGACACTGTTGGCTAAGCGTCCCCCACTCCGCAGAAGGGGGGAGGTTGCTGAACCTGAAGAAGGTGGGGCCCCTTGGGGCAGGTCAGGCTTCCAGGCCCAGGGAGACATTGCCCAGCTAGAGGCCCTTGCCTGGGTGCTCCCGGCCGTGGGGAGGCAGATGAGTGGTGTGGCCGGCCAGGCTTCCACAGGTTGGCGGTGAGAGCCCTGATGGCTTTGTTGGCTCTGGGCCAGAGGGGCAGGAGTCAGGGCTGACTGAATAGCAAACTCAGGAGGGAAGGAGACGGGCAAGCCGTAGAACCGCAAAGCCGTGGCCTGCACCTCCTCGCACCTTGTTAAGCCTCCCGCCTCCCTCTTTGTGCGGAGCCACTTCTGCTGAGCACAGGCCCCCCCCACCCCCGACCTCTCGCTGATCCAGTACAGCCTTGATAACCCAGCCCCCAACACAGTCATATCCAGGCAGCCAGGGAGAGCGCTTCCAAGCATCCAAAGAGAAGAAATGATGCAGAATTTACCGTCCCAAAAGCATTTTGAAGACACACTTGGGTTTCTTTGCGCCATGGACCTGGCTGCAGGAGATGTGGGGGGCTGGGTAGAGTGAAGCCCCCTTCTGACTGCCTGGGAGGAATGGGTCTGAAGGATTCTCGGATCCCCCTTCTTTCTGAGCCCTCCCAGGCTGTAAATGCAAGTGGGTGAGAAGCCCCCAATCCCCCTCCAAGCACGCTGCAGCCAGAACCTCTGGCCTGCCTCCACCACTCCCTGCTGCCTCAGCCTGTTGGTGGCAGCTCGAATGTCTTCTCATCGCGAGCCCTAAAAGTTAGTATTGTCTCCATTCTTAAAGAGTCCGGCCTCTTGTTACACTTGTGACCAGAAGTGTCTCAGGGACAGCCGGGTGTGATGTCGTAGGATGTGCTGGTGAAGCAAGAACAGCCCAGCTGTCTCGGAGGCCGGGCTCTGGGGCTTCCTCGCCCACCACAGGCTCCTACAGGGACCAGGAGCTGCTGCGTCGCTCCTCCCCGCTGAGCTGCCTTTGTTCCGTCCAGAGGCAGGAATGCAGCGGCCCCCCCCCCCCGGGCCTGGAAGCACCGAGCGCCCTCCAGCCCTCCATGGGAAGGAGATTGGGGGGTCACGGCCACCACTGGTGGGCTGGGGGGCACTCGGGGTAATGGGCACCAAAGCAGGTTATGAGCTTGAAGTTGGTGTGGACAGCTGCCTTGGGAAGGGGAAGCCCTGGGGGGGACTGGTTGAAGAAATTGGTTTTTAATGGGGGGGGTTTCCAATTGAGCATTTATGTTCTTTCTGTCTCACCCCCTCCACTGAAAAAGAGGGGGAAAAGCCACTTTTAACGGTTAAGCGTTGTTGCGCAAAACAAATCCCCACGGTGTCCGTGGCCAAACATACATGTCTCATCCTCTGTCCAAGTGGCAGCTTATTTTCATGCACCTTGGTGGATAACTAAGTGACCACTGAATTCTTAAAGCTCAGGCACTGGTCAGCGCTGTGCGGCCTCCCCTTCCCCCAGACAAATGGCTCTGTTGACCCCAGACTCAGGACCGTGCCCTCTGTGACTTGTCTGTGGCCCGCGTGGCCGCATAGGCCTCAGGAGGGGGGGGGCGAGCCATCGGGCCAGACATGTTACTGCACAGCACCGCAGACGCGCCTCCCCCTTCCTGAGATGAAGTGAAGCCCATGCTCTGCCGTATCCCTTTTCCCCTCAAGTAAGCCAAGTGAGTAACCGTATCTGGGACGGAGGTGTTTGCTAGCTGATCTGTTTCTATAATGCAGTAAACTTGGGTCCACTGCCCACTCGCTCTGTGTGTCCTGTTTGCCTCCTGTTTCTGTTGGGGGGAAGGGGAGTGGGCACCTTGCTTGTCCAACAGTTTCCATCATGGGACCTAGGGTCCCGCTCTACTCGCCTGCTGTAGCTTAGCCCCCGTGGTGCCCCTGTGCCCAGGGTGGGTGGGCAGGCCCTTCTAGTCTCTGCTCAGTTCCTCTGTTAGGTTACACTCCCCTTCCCTTGCCTCAGCTTCCTTCGCTGAGCTGAAAAGGGTCTGCGACTAGATTGCTTTGTCGTCATCCTTTGGGGGGAGGGGATGAGCATTCATAGAGCACCTACTCTACGCCAGGTGTCGTGCTAACCATGCTGCAGATCACTGATAATGAGAGAAATGCAAAGCAGACCGACCCTGAGGTTGGCGAGTCACAAATCAACCAAGACAAATGAGACTCTCAAGTTAGAGGGGCCGTGGGCAGACGGGCACTAGAATCATCAGTGCTCACGCTGCAAAGCCAGACCCCCATTTGGGAAGGCAGTTTGGAATGTCCGTAGCCTTTGACCAAGAGATTCCACAGATAGGGAGCAAGTCCCCGTACACAGCAAAATATGTATAGCATCAAAGGACAGGGCATGGAGATACCCCTCGACGTCACTGCTGTAAAGGAGGAGGGCTGTGACGGCCGAGAGGCGCGGAAAGAGTGACCCAGTCTAAGTGAGGTTGGAGCCAGGAAGACAGAAGACTGCCTGCACCACAAAGAAGAGCCGAGAAGGCCCCAGGGCTGGGGATGCCACCATAGTAGAACATCCCACCTTTTCCATGTAGTGATTGGATTTGCTGATTCGGTTTTTTTCCTTTTTTTTTTAAATATCCTTTGTTATATGGGATGACACTTGGGCATACTGGGGAAAATGCCGGTGATATAAGAAAACCAGGGTAGATAGATAGTGACTGATTAGACGCAGATACAGGTGTATTTTCTAAATGTTAGCTACCACCATGATGGGGCAGCTAGGTGGCGCAGTGGATAGAGCACGGGCCTTGGACTCAAGAGGACCTGAGGTCAAATCCAGCCTCAGACACATAACACTAGCTGTGTGACTCTAGGTAAGTCACTTAACCCCAGTTGCCTCACCAAAATAAAAGAATGTTAGCTACCACCCTGCCACATCTGGCTTTGCAGAGCAAGGCTGGGATGCAGTGACCGTAATGGCCACTGGGTGGTGATGTGGGTCCGTCTTCACAGGTTCCATACTGTCTTTTGCCCCATCGAGAATATCCAGGGGAGGGGAAAAGAATGGGTGGATTGATGCAGCTTCCCAGAGTAAAATGGGAAGGGGAGACTTGGACTGGGAAGAGAGGAGAGGGAAAAGAAGGAGGGTATAAGTATGCCTGAATATGCCTGGGGAAAGGTGCAGAGGAGGGGCTGGAGACGCTAGCAGAGGGCCCTTGGAGAAGAGGGTGGTCACAAGAGTGGTGAAATGAATGAGTGCCATGGCCCAGGCACTGGATGGGAGAATCAGGAGTCCCAGGTTCTAGGCCCAGTTCTTTCTCTCACTGGCTGCTGACCTGGCCTGAGTCACATTCTAGTCTCTGGTCCTTTCTCTAGTCTTTTCTTCCCAAACAGGGTGGGGGCAGAAGGGCAGAGGAACAAAAAGGTTGCCCAGGAGTGTCCTTCCAGTGTGCCCGGGAGGTGGATTGGCAGTGTGTTTCACATCTATAAGCCTCATTAACACAGAGCACTAAACAGGTCTGGGAGTCAACACTTAATGGATACCCTGGAGAGGCAGGCCAGGACCCAGTGAGGAGGTTCAGTCGCCAGGCACTGTCTACAGAGGGTTAGAGAACTATAAAATCATCCACTCTGAGACCTTGGAGATCACCTCATTTTTCAAGTGGATAGACTGAGGTCACACAGCCGAGACCTGAACTCGGGGCCCCTGACGCCCAGAGACCCCATGTGCCAAACTTGCTAGGTCCCCTTCCCTGCCATGACCATGCCAATCTCTCGCTTCTCTCTTCCAGCCCTCACCAGCTGATGGCCTCCTTCACTCCGCCATCTCCATTCTTCAGACCTCAGCATCTCCCTCAGGAAGGAAGACTCCTCAGTAAAGGGCAGTCTCTCTACTGGTGTCTTTAATGCCAGGGTAGAGCTGGGACACGTAGAAGTGAAGTCAGCAGACCTTTGATGAGAACCTACTGTGTGCTGGGCGCTAGGCTCAGTGCTGGGGAAACAAAAAAATAGCCCTTGGAAATCATCTGGGCCCTCCCCTTTGTTTTGTGGATGGGAAACCAAGAGGGTAGGTGACTTGCCCAAGGTCACGTGGCGCACGACAGGTACAGCAGAGATGAGATTCAAACCTACATCCTCTGATTCTAATCCCGATGGTATTTACACCACGCCACTCCTGCAATTCTACACAAAGATGGTCAGAGGAGGGTGTGTATGACAGAGGAGACAGTCCCTTGGAGGAGTCTCAGGGGCCCTGGGAAAATCCATCAGGCCTTGCTGGGCGGCACCCAGGGGAGGAGGGACATGGCAGGGAAGGGATAGAGGAGACAGACACCCCTCTGTGCACCCCCACTTCCACCCAGGCACCCAGGGGGCTCCCTGTTATCTCCAGGATCAAACATAAACTCATCTGGCATTTGAAGGGTAAAGGAAGGGAATAAGTATTTATATACGTATAAGATATTTGTAAAAACAAATATCTCCTTGAGCCTCACCACCACCCTGGGAGGGAGGGGCTGAGGCAAACAGGTTAAGTGACTGTCCAGGGTCACACAGCTAGCAGGTGTCTGAGGCCAGATCTGAATTCAGGTCTTCCTGCCTCCAGCCTGAGCTCTCTCTCACCTGGCCCTTGCTTGTGTTTGCACATCTCTCTGCCTCCTCTCTGATGCAGCTCCACCGTCTGCACTCCATCTGTCTGTGTGCCTGGCCATTGGCTGTCCCCCCTGCCATACCCAGGATGCCCTCTGGCCTCCCCTCTGCCTCCCGGCTTTCCTTCCTGCCTTCTGCCGCTGGCCTTTCCTGC